CTCCTGATTGGGTTATGTTATAAGTCTCGTCTGCCCTGATTAAGCCACCCTCAGCTCTTCAAAGCAAGGAGGGAAATACTGACTGCTTAGTCAGTCCTTCCATTGCAACCCGGAACTGAGTTTTGGAAATGTAACTGTATCTGTCCTTCAGGTCCTGAGCCTGCCACCAAGTTTGCTGCGAGTTGCAGCGTTCTCCCCAACTGGGAAGGTAGGGGGGACAAATCCTTTGCTGGCAGTCACCTCTCAGAGCCAGGGGCAGGTGGCAACAGCCGCAGTCAGGTCCCTTTTGGGAGCAGTTCTCAAACCTTTTTGGATTCGAGGCCCCGCCCCATACCTTTCCTATACCGAGTGGCACCCAATTAAAAAAAACTACACAGTTTATTTACCCAAATCCAAGATCACTTTGAATTTAAGATCAACTCCCAATGCTTGGATTCTATAAATGGAAAATTTAAAATTTGTTGCAATTTTCCAGTTATAGAATCTAATTATTGGAGAACTATCTTAAATTTGTCCCCAACCACAGGGGGCAGGCAGTTTGAACCCCCATCTCTTGCTCCCCCATACCTTTCCTCCAGTGCTACCTGTCCTCCCCCCTCCCCGCATCCCTCACTGCCCTTGATCCCCCACTCCCACCCCATGTGCAGCACAGGTCAGGAATGCAGAAGCAGTGTGCGCTGCTGCCCCATCTCCCCAACAAACACTTTTGCCCTATCCTGTGCCTGACTCCCCACACAATCCCTGACCCATGCTGATGCCCATCCCTCCATCTGATCCCCCACCCAGGCTGCCACCTAATCCTGGATGCTAGCTCTGGCCCCTGACCTACACTGACCACACTGCTGCTGACTCCATGGCCCCAGGTAGCAGCAGCAGCTATGGCTTGTGCCTCAGGGCAGAGAGCTGGAGCCTGATATTCACCTCATCTTGGATTCAAGTAAATTAAATATTACAGTGCTTAATTTCCTTGCAGAGGGACTGGGCCCCTCAGTGGGGGTAGGGGATTGGGCAGGCAGGAACATGCGTGAGTCTGTGCTTATCTGCTTACCTCCCCATACCTCAAGATACCCTTCAAAGGATCTCCCATCACCCTAGTTAAGAATCAGCATAGTAGAAAGGCTCAGATACAAACAATTTAAACTGTTCCTTCCAGCTTGCCTGCCTTGTCAGGGGAATCATGGTGTAGACAAACCCCATTTCCTCAGTGTTAGTTAGTTAGACTCACCAGCAGCTCCTCACAAGCCTTAGTCTTCACAAATCTTAACAAATATGTTCTCTGGAGACAGTCACCTTGCTCTATAGCCTTTTTCAGGTAGTAAAGTGATGGTTTCTAGATATTTGTCATGAATAAAGACCTCCTTTATTTGTTACGTCTGTATTTTAAAGGTCTGACCACATGACAAAACAAGGACTGGAATCAACAGACCTCCACAACCCCGCTCGCCTTTGCAGGAGTCCTCAAGACAGTCGATATACTTGCCACATGGCTCTTAGGAGAGAGTGCAGCCTGTTCATTCCACAAATGCTAGGTCTCATTGAAACACATCTGTGTGCGCATTGAGTTTAATTGATAGAGATTCTTCTAGGCATCTGCTAGTTTTAGTCTCTCACATTTGAGTCTCAGTTTTCAGTCAATCCATTGGCTCAGTTCCTCCTGTTAAAGGGTGTCAGGGTGTTTCTTCTGCAGTACGTTCCAGTCATTTACACAGAGCATCTGATCTTCTGAAGTTAAATTCCTAAATAGGTTTTAGTTCCAATTATCTCAAGCTTATTTCTAATTAAACTGAAACTAGATTAATTGCAGTGCATTTGTTTAAAAGGCAGCACTTCGGCACTTAATTTATCAAATGATTAATTACTCAGGCAACAGACATCCCTGATGCTCTTGAGCACTCAAGCCTCATATCCAGTTTCATTCATGCTGCCTGCTCCATGCAGGTCAGTGTTTCACACTAGAGCATATCACAAAATGTTTAAAAAATTGTGACCAGCTGTGGGGCAGCCACCAACACCACAAAGGAAATGAGGAAGACAAATACCCACAAGCTTTAAAAATACAGGGATGATGCTTTAAAAGTATTTAGCTCCATCAGAAACCTAAAACCAGTACTTTACCTAGGGCAGGGAGACCTAGGCAGTTGCTTCAGGTGCCAGCTTGAGGGGGTGAAGGCAGAGGAGGGAAGGGAGTGAGGAAAAGAAGTAAATTGTTGCCACAGCCACACAACTGCACCAGTGGCATGACAGCAAGTGGAAGTTGCTGCTGCCCCCGTGTGTGGCACGTACCCCAGACGTGGTCATGTAAAAAACAACTACAAAACATAAGTTGCAACAATTCCCATAGCAACTTCATAACAACATGGGTCCCCAAGACATTTTTCAAGAATGGAGCAGATCTTTTGGGGACTTGTCCACACTTGCTCCTCCCCCACTCCCCCAAGCCAATCCTTCTTTTCCATCCGAGACCTTCAAAATGGAAGGTCTCTGCTTGCAGTAAACACTGCAGCCTCCTTTAGCTCCCAGACAGCTTTGCACACACCAGGCCAGCTCCCTCAAGGGAAAGTTATCAACTAAAAAGCAAGCAAGCTACCCTGTTGGGAACACTGTGCAGCAATTTCATTTCTACCTTTGGTCTTTCTTTAAAGGAAATTAGTAACAATTACCCACGCAGCCTTGTACCACCTAACCCCCTGGATCTCCCTGGTCCTGGGGGCTTTAAATTGCCTGGATTTATTTGGGTGTTACTGAGGACTGAATGCATTCACTGTACTGTCACTTGGGAACAACTAGGACAGATCAGATTCATGAGGTGACTTTCATAAACATATATTCACTTTTTTGAGTGAGGGGGAGATAAATGGGGAGGAGAGGTATGGCAGCTGAGGAACATAAAAAAATAAAACTTATTTAAGATAAAGTCTTCAAATCAACAGCCATAGAACATGCAGTAAAGGTATTTGAATTTTAAACTCACTTTGCTAATCACCTGTTAAGTCTTTGGAGGTTTCTAATTCTTGTGTTTCAGTCCAAATAAAGTACAGCAGCCTCCAGCAAACTTTGCTGTTACATCCACGATTCCGCATCCAGCATCACGCATGACTTGCATACTGAGAGAATTCAGAGCTTTGTGATTCTTGAAAGCTCTGCTAATTATGCAGCAGTTCATTCATAGCCATTGCATGTCTATGAAATCTATGAAATAGTGTGTGCAGTCAATTGCATCTGGGCAGGAGGCCAGCAATGCCATAAAAGTCCCATCTTTTTGCTGGTGTAATAGAGGTGCTTGTGGCAAACTAAAATATTAACTAGTATTTCTGAACATTGTGCCTAACAACTGACTATAGAACAAGACATAGTACATAATGTTCCACACTGCAGCTTGAACAAATCCAGTATTAGTAGCCAAACAGACCTTTTGACACCTCTGAGTTGCTTGAAAGAGTGTTTTGCAGGACAAGCCAACCATTATTAACTGTGGTTAAAGTGACCTGTAACAGAATACCATATCTACAGCTTACAATGGACTTTTCTGATGGACAACTGACAACGACACTCCCATTCCACTTCTGTAAGTTCTTATACTAATCAAGTACCTTCCAGTAAACGCAGGAAGTCTAAATGACTAATTTCAAGAGTTAAGACCTGCTTTTTTTCATAGTTCATTAAAAAAAATCAGTCCTTCTGGATTTAATTTATTTCTCTCTTAATTTAGTTAATTTCTCTTTTCCTGCTACTAAATCAGAAAAGGGCCAAAGTAGTTTAGTGACAGATGGATGAGGTGCATATTTAAATGTACATCAACTAATTAGGAACATACACCAAATACATTAGATGCATGAAGTTTCCAGAACCAGATTTGCATTTCTGGGACAAAAAGTGATAATTTACGCTCTCAAGTTTCATTACTAATTTCTCCCAGACATACTATACTGAATATTAGGCACCAAAAGATACTAAAAGTTGGGATAATACTTGTTTTGTGGGAATGTGACAACCTACTTAAGAGTTTTCAGAACACTACTGGCTATACCATCAGTCCTTTGACTTGCACATACCCTCAAGCAGAGGCAATGCTGCCAGTTACATGCTTTTAGAAGTCCTGGGACCCCAGAATGGGTCAACCTCTCCCCCCCAACATCCTAGTACCCCATGCCTTGGGATGTCTAAAAACTTCACGTTTATTGTGGCTCCCTGGTGAACCCTCATTTAAAAATGCCTTGCCCTCTAGTCCATGCAGGGAGAATGGCTACTGGGCTTGGGGGTTGCCAAGTTCTCGGTAGGGGGAGCCACTCCTCCTACAATCTATTTTTGGCATTAGAACTGGAGCTGTACCAGTCCTGATGTCAACCCCACTTTCCATTCTGATTGTCAACAGCAGCAGGTGGCTGTGTGAGGTGACGGAGGGAGCACTGCACCTTAGGATGCTGAAAGGACCTAGAAAAGATTCATGACCCAATGTGCGACATACCACACGTTCAACTTAAAGTCTCATAGAAACAGTTATTAAAATGTTCTACATTTTTCAAGCAACACCATTGTAGCTGGTTGATACTTTTGTGGCTGGTTGGCCTTTTTTTTTCCATGCTGTAATTATTTAAATTGTGTAGCATGTCTAAATTTATTGTGCAATTAACCAATTAGCTGCAAGATAAATGTAACGTGCATCATGGGATTTAGAACGCAACACAAGTTTGTCTTTGCTCTGTGAATGCTACAATAGAGACTGAATTCCCTTTTTTTTTTGTGTACCTGAGGAAGAATCACTATTTGGTCTTAGAGAGTTTTTTTGTTTTATGGCAAATAAGCAGTTTAAATTTTTCAATTAAGATTATCCTCTGCCAGTCCATCTCACCAAGGTGATGCCTTTGTAGAAGTGAACAGTGATTTGTTTCACTCTAGTAGTTTGTTATATGAAACATTTTGGAACACTTCTGGCATTCACATTTTAATTCTACTGACTTATTCCCACATTGTCCAGATACAATAACTATATATACTTTAAATTACAACTGTCATTGTTTATTACTGTTTTGGCTACATTCTCTACAATTTCAGCAGCATCTGAGAGACAGTTAATGTATCTTTATGTACAATGAAAAACAAAAATGGCTTGCAACATCAGGAACAAGAGCCACAGTTTGACTGTACAATATTAAATGAAAACCTGTGGTAATACAGCCTCCTTTTTCTGCAACATGGACAAAATTACAGATAGGTATTCAGCAACATGAATGTGACAATAAAAAGAATAATGAATGGGGGGAGAGAGAGATAAAGCATTCTGAAAAATAAGTTTCTACCAGACAAGGCAGTTAGAAAATGTTTCATATTTTAAAATATCTGTACAAGCCACAAGAAACATTTCCTTGTTGATAGGAACTTCCAGAAATAGAGAATAACCATGAACAACTTCTACAGCTAGTATCAATGTGCTCTACAGGTTGAGAGCACAAGAAACTGACTTAAGGAACTGTACTGTATATGTCCAACACAGATCTGTTTTACATGCCTTGATTGTTTATGAATTATCTACTTTTAATCTCTCTAACGTACAGTTGACTTGCACCTTAAGGAGGTCATCTGATTCTTTTGCAAAAGTAAAAGCAACATCATTTAGCAGCAATTAAAAGCGCCTTCAAGGAGACTTAAAAAAAATACAATATCCAATTAGAAAAAGCCATACTTTAAACATTTGTACAGGAGTAAGTTGCTGAAATTTAATAACTGAAAATATGACATCTGTACAACAATTTACAATAGAGCTAGAAGGGAATTTATCATTATCCTGCATAGAACATTATACATGACCTATCTGCATTTGGTTTCATACTGTCATTTGCTTTTATCGCAAAGCCTGGAAACTTGTCACAAGTTTTGACAATGCTGCAAGCATCAGGAATTCAAAGAATTGAGCTGATTTGAAAATCAGCTAGTTATCTGAGAGATAATGTATCAGGAATCATATCTGAGCTTTCAAATCTATATTCATTAAAACAAGTACAATGTTTTTCTTTTTTTTTCTTCTTGAGGTACAGCCTTTTACAAGCCTGCATAGCCAAACAAAATATTATACCTTTGTCTGAACAGCCTAATACAGATCTAACTCACTTCTTACTTTGGTTTCAAAGATGAACCACTTAGAAAGCAGGTGTTATTTTGGGTTATGTCCAGGCACTGAACTTTACCCTGCATGTTCAAATTTGTCCATTACTTTTCTTCTTCAGTTAAATAATGAAAAACTACCCTTCATATTAGAACTCTCCAGTATCAACCAAATGTACTTTAAGTATTAAAAAGATTATTTACAATGTTCCCCAGAAAAAACTAAAAACCTTTTCTTCACTCTTAAACACAAAACACCTGTTTGTATGCAACAGGCAGTGTCATCCTTCAATGTTTAAAGGTAACACTCTGAAGGGTACATTTTTTCACAGTCCATGATCCATTCTCATCATATAAATGACACTATGAAGGACCTCAGTCTAATAACACAGTTATCAAACTTGTCCCATGTAAAAACACTCAAATGCTTTCAAGCTAAAGTCTGCATCTGAAAACTACACAGAGATATCATGCCAGCCCTCATTTGGAGAAATTTCAGTATGAAATAATGCTTGAAGTAGGTGGTGTAGGGGATGCTGCTAGCCCAGTCATATGCAAATTTCCTGAAGAATTTGATCTTCTCATGTGAGGGAGGAGATAAGGGTCATTAGCCAGCTGGTGGACATCAAATCGATCTTCTTTGCGGTATGCTAAACAGCGTCTGATAAAGGCCTAGGAAAGACAGGTAAAAAGTGACTATACTCTTACAAACAAACAATGAATTCTGTCTGCTAGTCAATTCTTCTTCCAGGTGAATTAACACGATCTCAAAATCATTCTAATTATCAGCTCAGGTCCTAAATACACGTTATTTTTATGAGGCAGCAACAGCTAATGGGGCTGCCTGCAAGCTGTCTATGATATCAAGGGCAGTCTCTCTCAACTGATCAGGTCCTACAGCAGGGGTGGGCAAAATGTGGCCCGGAGGCTGGATGCGGCCCACTAGGCCATTCTATCCGGCCCACAGGGCCCCTAAAAAATGTAGGAAATTAACATTTATCTGCCCTGGGCTGCCTGTCACGAGGCCCTCGATGGCTTGCTGAAACTCAGTAAGTGGCCCTCTGCCCAAAATAATTGCCTGCCCCTGCCCTACAGCCACTCAAGCCTCATCTGCTGACCAGTGGCAATGGCGGATGGAGCTAACCTCCAAGCTGGTCCCTGCAGGACTCCCTGACAGCTCCTTAGCTGCACGAGCACGCAGAATACTGTGCGATACAGAGAAACCTGTACGAACGTTAACATTTGTTGCAGAAGTTTCCCACAACAGAAGCTGCTGTTTGAAAAAGTAACTTGTCACAGATCTGCCATTTTTGTGATGGATTGGCCTTTTTTTTTTTATATAACAGTGAATGTATGGACACTTGCAATACACATTATTTTAACATGAGAGAGCATGATGAATGTAATAAATATCTGGCCTCAGTGAGACAAGGTAATGAGCAATCAACTAGCAGGCCCCCAGAAATTTGTACCCTCTCAAGGTCAATCCTATGACTTCCTTTTCCAAACATCTACAGTGGTTTACAATTCTACTGTTCACCTTTATTCTTGGCCTACACTAGTGAATCTTCAATATTAATAAGTATGTAGTTGATTGATGTGTCAACCTATAACAGCAAATCTAAGGTTACTTTAAACATTAATCTTCAAAAATATAATGAATAGACAGAAACAAAGTGGAATCCACATTTACACAAAAACAAATCAGCATCCTTAAATCACAAAAAAGACGTTGCAAATGCCACCTAAAAATGTTGACCAAATAGCAGAAACAAATGAAAAAGGATTGAAAAGATAGAGCAAAAATGTACCAGGTATGCAAGCTAATGAGTTTGGTATAATCAGATGCTTATTCTTCCATTCAGTGCTGCTTGAAAAGTTTGGTTTTTTTCCAAAGATCTAATGATATTCTCTGAGGATAAAGATAGCTATAGCAGTGTCCCTGAAATTCAGAAGCAGGACCAAGATAGAACCTCCAGAGGGCTCTGCAATGATGACATGACTGTTATCATCTGACACTGACAAAGACTATTGAGCCCCAAATCCAGTATATCCTTTTCAGAGAATCAGATGGTAAATAAGAAGTGAGCAGAAGGTAGGTAACATTTTTAGAATGTAAAGATGTCTAACTTTGGTCTGCGGAGCCTGAAGAAAAATCTGTTGTAAATCAGAGACAGGAGGAGAACCCAAGTGTATTACTGTATGCTAGTCACTCCTCTAATTTAATAAACTTTTTTTTTTTTTTTTTAAATATTTTTGTCTAATCATGACAGAAGCTAGTAAAATTTTAAATTTAGATAATACTGGATGTCATGTTCATTAGAAATGTCTAATGCTAATGTGTTCCCCCCCGCCCCCCAGCAAAAAAAAAAAGCCCCAACAAAACCAGGTACTTGCACAAACTACCTTTTCAACAAAATCACAGGCTCTGTTCATTTTATCATCTGCTATCAGCTCTGAGCATTTTTCTTTACCTTCAGAATTTTAAATACTGCGACACTAGCTGGTTTACATCTGGGTCTCTAGATTTACTATCAATCCTTCTGCAATGCCAGTTCCTACTGCTAGTTTCCTAGCCAAATGCCCAGCACTAGCTACTTGCACAGCAAGCAAAAACACAAATTTCCTCAGCCTTGTGGGGGCTAAAGCTTTGACAGTTACTGACGAGAAATCCCACCTACTAGTGCCACAGAATTAATTAACACACCAGGAACATAATAATTCGTATTTAATTAAAAAATAAACTATGGTAAGACTGGCAGGGCAGAAGGAACCTCCTTTTCCTGGTAAAGCAATTCAGTCTTTTGCCTTTTTTCCCAAAATAAAAAATGAAGATCAAAGAAAAATATTTAATGTTAAGTTACAGGGAAACTAGACCTTCACATTGTAGTCCCATCAGAATTTACTATAGCTATTACACATGCAATAAAATGCAGATCTTTATAAAAACAGTGAGTTACTTTCTACTGGAAAATAAAGGGAAAAATCCCATTTATTTGTTAATATTTTAGTATTAAGCAGCTCTTGAGCATTTTACTTGCCTTTTTTAAAGATCAATTAATTGTTGGATAGTTTACAAGTTCCTTGGGAAAGGGGTTTGTTTTTAGACTCTTTGCCTTAATGTTTCTGCGTTGCCATAAGTGCATGTATTTTTTAAAATAAGTGACAGAAAATTATTTTAAAGTGGAATTTGCACGCTAAAAACTACTAAAATGTTATTCTAGGTTCCATATTTATTGTTCCTCCATGCTTTTCACACCAAAATTTTAGATTATAAAGATTTTTTTTTTCCAGCTGGTTTGGTCTGGTCTGTAAATCTGAAAGTTAAGCAGGCTTCTTGCTGGTTCCTAGTATTTGCACCAGAAAGTGTCTACAAGTCCAAATTCCAAATGTAGAAAAGTTCTAAATGTAGAAATCTCTATCCCACATACCTTATAGCAGATTAAATATTTTGATATTCTTGTCCCTTGAGCCATCATCAAGCTACTCTCCTCCTAAGAAATTAATTTCTAAAAGCCAACCCTGAGTTAGCATGCCAAGTGCGCTATGAATTTTAAAGGGACCACTAGTACAAGGAACATTTTTCAGGTGCATTTATTTCAGAAATCAAGCTGCTTCTTCAGACTAAGTAGGGCTCTACTCAACTTGGAGGCAGCTGGCCAATTTCACCAGCAGGCTGCAGAGCCAGCCACCATTTTTATCGTGACAGAAGCCCGCCTCCTCCTCAATTGGCCAAGGATCCCTGGTGGCTCTGCCCTTCATTGTTGATTGGTTGTGAGGGCTGTCCACCATGCAGCCCTGCCCCTCGTTGCCAACTGGTGGAAAGGGCTGGGTCTGCATGATAGGCAGCCCTCTCAGCCAATCAGTGACAAGGGGCAGAGGCAGCAGCCACCTGGGACTCCCTTCTTGCAGAGAACTCCCCTTCCCCACACCCCATCTCGGCAGCAGGCTGCACAGCTGGGCCACAGAAGCCACGAGGACTGTTGTCTCCCTTTGGGGAACCAGCATTTTATTTTCAGTAAGTTTCTGTTGTTGTTGTGGATTTCACAGGCAATACAAGATTTTGCAATTTCTGCAAAATCCTCAAAAATTGTGATTTGAGGTCCCTACTGATAAGACTAGACAATTTAAACATTCACTATTTTCAGAAGCAGGTTGTATTTTTAATGAAAAGTCTTCATTAGATGTCCCTATGAAGCAACAAGACCAACACAAGCAGGGTAATTCCAGCAAAAAAGAAAAGTAGATGGCATTTGAGGCATTTTTGAGTGGTTGTTTGAAGTAGTCTGGAATCCTTTAAGAGTGTAGCTGCAAAGAGATCAAGTCAGTTTTGCCAATGCATAATTTTTTACGACCTGACTTTGGGTAAATCTCAAAAGAAATAATTAAATGAAAGAGAATTACCAAAGATACTTGTCCATCATATTTTTCCACATGAGTAGGGATCTCCTTAAATCATATCAGAAGTGCCCCCCCACAGCAGCTCCTTCCATGTTTTTAATTTTGCTGTTTGCCCCTTTCTGCTCCCCGCCTCAATGGGAGGAGGGGCCCCGCCAGCCAGGATGTTTGCTACTGACTGCTAGGGAAGCGAAAACCTCGCTGGTGATCAGCAGCGAACTGCCCAGCTGGCAGGACTCCTCTGCCAATCAGGGGCTGGGGGAGGGAGGTGTGCCGGAATGAAAAACATTACAGGAGCTGTTGTGGGAGCACTTCCAGTGCGATTTATGGAGATCCTTACATATTAGATACCCCTATATTAGTGAGAATTTTATTTACTTCTTTGGAAGCAAGGGGTACTCTAAAAACAATACATTCAATATTTACTTCATGCTACTTAGAGATCCTACAAAATATTACCTTGGCTTCATTGCTTACGACAGGTTTAACTGGGAACTGGACTTCTGTGGCTTTTAATATTGTGTTTTCCTGTAGGATATCTTGTTGTGATTGATTATGACCAAATGGCTGAAAAATAAATTCAGATAAATGTCTTCATGAAAGCTGTCCAAGTATCTCAATTTCACGCTATATTAAATTGTCTGAGTGCTAACAAAAATACCTACTAATCCTTCACTAAAATGCTATTTTATGTCAGGCACAATTATTTGTTTCTTTACCTCCTGCAGGACAAACTAAACAAGCACAAGGCATTTTCCATAGAGATTAAGCTTTTTATTACTACAATCTTATGGTCCATAGGGGGAAAGCAAATAGACAAACTTATACTAAAATTCAGAAAGGTTTTTTTCTTACCTTTCTGCCATAAAGACACTGGAAAAAGATGACTCCAACAGACCATACATCAACCTTATTAGAAATCTTTGGTGGCTCTTTGCCAACTACAAAACACTCTGGAGGCAAATACCTGAAGAAAATAAAACCCAAACTCCAGTCACTGCAAGTAGGTAGGCCAGAAAACATGCATTCAACTGAAGTCATAGAACTCAGTTCTATGATACTGACATCCATTTATTTCCCCACCCCCACACAACCAAGACTAATGTTGCAGTTGTCTTTAGGGTCAGACAGAGAACAGGGCTAACCATTATAGGAAGAGATTTCTAATTTCAGAATGTAAAATTAACATGAAGTATAAGAGACTCAATCCATTACCTCAACTACTGGAATTCCTGGGAGTGCAGAGGCTGCAGTGGAGAGGTTGGGTAGGCGGTAGAGGCTGTGGGGGGCAGGGAGGGAAACAGGCAGCAGCTGTGGTTCTGGCTCTAACCTGGGGTTGGGGCTGGAACTACTGCAGCAGCTGCCTTCTGCCTTCTCCACTGGTTTGTACTCAATTCCAAGATGAGAAGCTCCCTGCCCCTCCTCTCCTCCCCGCATATTAAATGGAGGGGGTGGGGTGGGCGGGGGGGGTGGAAACGGACCTTGTCTTGGAATTGAGTGAATGAGGCATATGTGGGCTGATGGCTTCCTTGGAGACAGAGAAGTACGAACCAACTTGTATGGTAGGGATGAAAACAGAAATATAGGAACTGCAGTACTAAAAGGAATCAAAGATCCACCTAGTTCAGTATTGTATCTCACTAAATTAATTCCTGTTATCATTCTGTGACATTTTGCAATACTGAGATTCACATGGTAAATGCTGCATTAAAATGTTTTCCCTTGCATCCATTTTATTTTCAAATGTTTTTAGCCCTAGATATCTCAGTAGAACTATTTTTATATGAGCATCCCTGGCATCTGATGAGGATAGACAGTTTCAGCAACAACTTTCTCCAAACTTAAAATTACCAGTAAGTTCCTGCCCCTTGTGAAGTCAAGTCCATTCCATCCACACCATAGCTATCATCATCCATTATTTTAGACAGCCCAAAATCAGTGATTTTTATTTCTCCACATGCTGTTCCATCTACCAGAAGAATATTACCTAATAAGAAAGAAAAATTATAAATATGGAAATCTAGCATTAGAAGAAAACTAAATAAGTACAATTTCAGTAGTCTGGTATAATGAGTGGGTAAAGGCAACTTTACAACCCTCCACTTTGCCCCTTCCACCCTCAAATCTGGAGTCATTCTGACCCTCAGCAAAATTTAGAGCAGTCTCTGAGATGGTTTCCACCTGGAATGCACCTAGATTCCCCCAGTCAGGACCAACTGGTTATCTGGGAAACACTACAGCAGTGTCACACTCAGGGTATGATGATCTTTTCCATCTATGGTATGCTGGCTTTAAGGCCCCTATATGCCACCAGGACTGTGAAAAAATTGGTGGTAGAAGCAAGGATTTTACCCAGGGTTTTAAAGCTGTACAGTGTATTTATCACTTATATTTGTTCTTTCACTATTATACTTTTATTGTGCAAGCTGTTCTTTTTATGTTCTTTAATTTTTTGGGAAAATAATCTTATATTGCATTAACAATTACATTCTGAATTGTTATATGATAATCTTGAACTGCACAGAAATGCACATGTATTAGATTGTTCCACCATACCTGAAACAAATCCATATTAATAAAGTTTTACTAAGTGTCTTAAGGAATTTAATCAATGTAAGATGCATAAAAGGAGTAGAAAATCACATGCATTTGTTTGTCAAATGCAGACCCAGAACAGAAAATGGTACAGATCTTTAGATTGTTTGGTTAATATAGTACTCGTTTCTATTTACTCTGTGATTAATCATTGTTGGAAAACTACATGAATAGACCACGATTTACGGAGAGTTGAAGGAACTTGGTTATCATCATGAATGCAAGAAGGTGTCAGAAAACAGCATAGAGGAAGAGGCTGCAGCAAGAGGAAGGTTAATTACACAGGGACTTATGTATGATGTTGAGGGCGAGGGCAAGAGAGAGAGAGAGAAGGGGAATTTTATGCTCCATCAACATCACACCCTCTGCCATGCCACATGCGTCTGGCAGGAGGTAGAGTATATGGGATAGGCATAAAATTCCTCCGATTCAAAATATGGTATTGTGGGGCTGCCCCAACCCAATCCTAAGGATAGGGCAGGGGAGATATCTGTCCCAATCCCAGGACTGTCCCCACAGTCACTGAAAAGTTCCAGGCTGGGTCTGTCTGGGGCTAGGTTCAATAATCAGTTGATTGCCAGGACTGGCCATGCAGATCCCCAGGACTACCCAGCTGCCTGTTTTAGAAATCACAGAGCCTCTCCCCCATCCCATGGTCTCTGTGCCCTGGCCTACAAATCACTGGTGCATATCCCAGCTTCCTGGAAATCTACTTTTTAAAATGCCTTACCCAGGGGAGTTGCCCACAGGGACTGCTAGGCAAGGTAGGAAAGTCTGCTAGATGCAAGTGTTGTGTGCAAGTGTTATCTATAAGTGTTCCCACTAGGGAGCCTCGCAACTGGTGCATCTCCCAAACAACCAATTTTTGGCATGGGAAGCTGGGCAGTCCTTGTCCCAGTGCTGTCCCCCATGCCCATGCTAATCTTGTTCAATTTATGGCACCATAAAAAAAAAGCCATAAAGTTCCACATTTTGTATGGATTAAATCTGTGCCTAGTTTGCCACTTACGGTGCCATAATTTGGCTGAACATGTAGCGCTTTTTCTGGTGTGCTTAACAGGTTAATCACACCATAAGCATAACATGTGCCAGTGGCCTAGGAGCTAGAACTCAATGTAAAGGAGATGGATTGCCAATGAAAATTGCAAGTAGGTAAAAAAGATGTAAGCAGAGAAAGAAAATATTTTTCAGAACTGACTAGAGGAGAATGAAACAACCAATTATGTATTATCTTTACATTTCTAAAAATATGGTTCCATCACAAGTTCTGGGAACTTATCCCATAGGATAAAGGACTAAATTTAGTCCTTTTGCATCAGTCTGTGATCTTATGAGTGAGGCAAGAGATAACCAATGAAAAGACTAAAGGATTTAGCAACAGAACGCAGAGAAGATGCCAGATTTTGGAGGAATTCTAAATGAAAGGACAGGTAGAAGTTAATGAGATTTTTCAACATGAATTACAAACAACATACGAGAACAAGATTATTTGTAATCCCAGCTGTAGCATTTCTCATTTACCTGGTTTAAGATCATAGTGTATAATAGGGGGCTTGATCTCATTGAGATACCGTAGTGCATTTACTATTTGCATTACAATGGACCGAGCTTCCTTCTCTGACATTAATTTATGTTGCTTGAGATAGAAATCCAAGTCATTGCCTTCACAGTATTCTAACACTGTACAAAACCTAGAGTAAAAATTCAGAGACACAGAGTTAGGTAAGACAGATTATAAACTGCTATCTAATTGCACAATCATTTGCAATCAAATAATTGCATAACAAAAAAAATAAGTGAAGTCTGATGCTGACAAGTTTAACAAATTCACATACATGAATATCTGCAAACCTAATTATGCATAAAAGGATCTAGCATACCAATTATTTTATAAAAACTCATATTAGTAGTCAAAGCATTTTTGTTTAAAAGAAAAAAAATCCCAAAATAATAAAAAGGCCAAGTAAATCTTTCCTTCTTGTATACTTAGATGAGTTTCTTGATAAAAATACATGTTTAATTGCTTAAGGTAAAATCCTGCATTGTGCTGTTAGTAACTGCAGCCCAGAGGAAGAGTTGCATGATGGTACTGATGGAATCTCCAAGTCTTGGGATGCGCTGTGTGCTGGAAGGGCCCCTGGAATAATTTAACCCTAGTGGCCTACCTGCATTACAACAGCCTTCCTGGGGTACTTTAGGATTATAGCTCTGCCTTGAATCAGCATACCACTAGCTACCAGAGGCCAAAACTGATGTTGTAGCACGGGGTTCATCATCCAAAAGCCCATGGACTGAATCCAGACCAGGAGGAAGTCTGATCCAGCCCTCAAAGGTTCAATGTGGCATAGTAGAAATCAGCAGCATGAAGCTGCACTGTGCATCATCTCCTTTAGAGTACTCCCCTCCACTGAGGAGCCTGAATCTCTGCCATATCTGTGCTTACACACTGCAGGGGGTCTGGGAATCAGTGGAAAGGGCAAGCATAGTTGCTGGGGGGGGGGGGGGGGGGGGGGGAAGGAAGAGGAAGGGGAACACAGGCTTGCACTACAGGCAAAATGGTTGCTGACCTAGCATGTCCTTTATCAGGGCAAGAGAGTCCTCAGAAGATAGATAGCCTTCTGGTTGTCTTAGACAAAGCCTGCATCTATTTAGGACACTTTTAAGAAAGTTCCAGTCCCCTTATCTGAAGTAAAAATAATCCAGAATAGGAATTCGGAGGGTATCTGAGAGTCAATACAGTCACCATTTCAAAAAACAAATATTTGACAAGTTCGGAAATTGGTGTAATTTTAAATACTTACGTATCTGTATCCAAAGAGAAGTAGTCATATAGTTTAACTATTCTGGGATGATCCAGTTCTTTGTGTATTCTATACTCTCGGCAGGCATGTCTAAAAAGACAATATATTAACTTTTCATGATCAATAGACTACTGTTCAATTTACCATAAGAACCATAAATCATTAATATTTACTTGTGGTAGTTTTCTTTCTTCTCGTCTCTCCAGCTTTTGTTAAGTTGGTGAATCTTCACAGCAGCATATCTTTGTTCATAAAGATCAAAAGCCTTAAAAGAGCAAAAGAGAGAATGGACAGTTACAACCAAAGGTAATTAAAACACAACAAATAAAAAGGTACAAATGTAGCACATGATCCACAGATCTACATAAGAACTGTAAGCAAAATGAAACTATAGAGATGTGTCACTACAATATTATATACTGTTAAAGAAATTTTGACAATCATGAAGAGTGGATTAATTTGAAGTATAAAAATGATATATTTTTCAAGTAACAATATAACACCACATACAGTTTAGAGAGATGGTGTTCTATTAAGTTATCATTATCATTGACAATTTCTACTTTCCTTAGTACTTCCTGAAAGCTTCTACCAATTTTACATTAAGAAAAACATATGATTAATATACAGTAAAACTATGACAAAAGGTAATATCTATATTTGCTTTTAATAAAAACTGTACTTCACTGCCATGTATCACCTTCTATTGGCTGCATTTCATATTTTGTACTGCAAATTCCTAATTATGCAAACTGTTGCATTTTTAGTGCATTTATCAAGTCTCCAGTCACAAACCCAACTCCTTCACTGTTTAACAACAAAACGCTTCATATTGGTTATATTAGTTTGAAGTGCAGTGATGCTTTCTCCCCACATATTAAGGAGTTTTCCCAGGTAATGTTTAAGAATACTACCATATTAAAATCCTCCTGGCATATTTAAGACTAAAGCTAACCAAATTAAGTACAAAAAACTTATGTGGCTATGAAATATTACACTGCAGGCCCAAATCCACATTACCTTGTATACCTCACTGAAGCCACCTCGCCCAAGTAAGTGCAGTAACAAATACCGTTCATTTAGCGTAGGATGATCTTTGAACCTTAAAAGAAAAGTAAGAAGTTGTCAAGTAATTTTGTGGAGATATAGGAGTAGACCTTGAAATCTGGTCCCTTCAAATCTTTGTAATTTTTTAAGTCCTGTTTATCTAGATGTCTTTGAAAACTTTCAGAATTCCTTTAATACTTCCTGTCCAACAGTTCATTCTTTGTCCCAGAATGTAGGAAGACAGCAAGCAATTTAACTAGGCATTACTTTATTACCTCATATCTGGATACCAGACAAAATAGTTTGTCCAGTGCAAGCCATCTTTTCTTTCTAATGTGTACCCTCATGTAGAAGGATGGCTTCAGTTTCCAATCCCAATAGCTTGGCCAAGTACCTTTGTTGGGACCCCCTTCTCTTACAAGGGGAGGAGCCGTCTCCTCACTGTACCAGGCATGGGAAACCCTAGTTCCATGCTTTGCCTTCCTGAGGAGATAACTTCTGACCCATTTCCAATTCTAGTCTATCAGGAAACTGTACATCTACTGGACTGTTAACTCTACTGGGCACCTGCAACAAAATGCATTTTACAATCTAACCTACACGAGGCAAAGGTTTTTGGACCAACTATACAGTTAGTTGACAAGCTTTTGGGACCACAACTGTCCTTCCTCAGGCATGGGGGAAGAGGCAAACAGCTTGAGCTAAACAGCAAACAACAAAACAATTTACTCTATGTCAGTGGTCACCAACCAGTTGATCGTGGAGCCTCTGACAGTTGATCTCAGTCTGTAAGAGGCTCCATGATCGGGAGTGGCAGGACGCACATGGGAGGGCTGAGCTATGCCCTCTGCTGCCTGGGTTGGGCTGGGCGAGTAGGGTCAGAGCCTGGGTGGCTTGTCCGAGAGATGGGGGGAACCGGGGAAAAGTGATCTTCACTATAAAAAGGTTGGAGACCACTGCTCCATGTAAATGAAAAGAGCCTGCTTAAGGAATGGAGGAGAACTGAAGAATAAGGAGCAGCAAGACACTTTCATGAATGGCTATAGACAGAAAGAACTGCAGTAGAATAGGTAATCTAAGCAGTACGTAGAGTTAAAATGCATTTGCAGCCATGATGGTCCAAGAATTCCGCTAATCTAACTAGTGGAAGAGCAACCTTCAAAAAAGGAAAAAATCATTATTACCGGTGGAATGGAGAGATAAGTAACGAGTCATAACACCATCAACTATGTCTAGTCCATATTTTTACTGTCCAGTAAGGTTATGAATTTCTGTTCTCAGGCCTGTCTTCTGAAATTATTTCGTAGACTTCCCTTGAGCCTGAGGACTGTGAAGGCAGAAAGGGAATGTGTTGGGCTATACAAAAAATGTTCTTTTACAAGTGTTTGTGCATCTCTTTTGCTAGAGTTAATTCCAGGTGCATAGCCTTTGTCTAGTTTCAACCACAAAGTTTCTATGAGGGCATCAGGTGCACTAGATGAGATGCACCACATTCTGCAACAGGCGCACATAGGATCTGTAGATTAAGATGGTTTCATTGTGGGGAGGTGTTGATTGTAGAGATGTGTTTGTAGATTTTGCCTCTATTGATAAGGCAGGGTTGTGTCATTTGGTGTTTATGGATCAGAAGTGAGTTTGCTTTTGTGATGAGTTGTGTGATGAGTTGGGCCAGACTTGATGTTTGTTTGAAGGCTAGGAAGAGGTAATGGGGGTGCTGGGAATATTTCCATTCCTTTAAGGAGAAGGTTTCATATGTAATCCATGTGCTTTTTCTCTATCTGCTATTTAGCCCAAGCTGTCTGCCTCTTCCCTAGACCAGATGAAGGGCAGTGTGTACCCCCAAAAGCTTGTCAGACTTCTCTCTCAATGATCTAGTTGGTCTAATAAAAAAAAGTGACACAAAACAAAACACAAAATTTAAATCCTAAACAAACTAAGACTACTTTTCAATTTGAGCCCAAACTAAGCCTCCCTCCACAACTCTGAGGCTGCCAGTTCAGGGGGGAATTTGATCATCTTTCTGCCAATAAATGGCATTTCCTAAAGTTACATCTTTTTTCTTCAAAGTAGTAATATATACATATACTAGCCAATTGCCCATCAAGAATGACAAGCGGGCAGCACAGGTGGGGACAGAGGCCTGCGTCCAGCTCCCCCCCCCCCACTTCGGGGCAGAGCCTGCCCTCCCTTTTCCGATATGTGTGCGCGTATCTCAATTGGCTATTTTAAATATGCAAATATTTTATATAAAATATTATATCTATATATGTAACACAATGGTGGCAGGGAGGGTTGCGGGGGGCATATATATGTATTTTAAGTTTCCCGTTCTTTATACTCATTTTTATGGAATAGATTTTATGACCCTATTCATTCCACACACCCCTTCCCCACAAATATTTTCGGTTGTTCACCTACCTACCATCTACCATATAACCTTTATAATAGAGGCAGGCATAATATGGCCTGTAGGCCGGATCTGGTCCATCAGGCCATTCTATCTGGCCTGTGGGGCACCTACAAAGTTTAGAAAATTAATATTTATTTGCTCCAGGCTCCCTATCAAAGATGACAGGAGCCAGGGGCAGTAGGACCCAGGGAAAGCTGGCAGGAGTCAGGAGAAAGACTAGCCCGGCCCGCTCCACTCCCAACCCCCACCCCACCTGGAAGTGTCTGCCTTCCGCAGCTTTCCCTGCATGCAGCTGCTCCAGCACCATGTGGCCCCTGGCTGTATCACTGGACCATGGGAGCAAGGGTGCGCTGGTACCCCAGGGCCAGGAGTTTGGCGGGGAGGGGGAAGGAATGGTATGTGCATGCGTGTTAAAACCTCATACCCACCTACACCCCACATACTCGCACACACCCACATGCTCCTTTACCCCACACCCACCCACAGCCCTCCACAAACCTGCCACACCCCCAACAGTTTACAAGAGTAAGACTTGATTTTAAGCTATTATGTGATCACCTCTATGTGCACTACACAAACACAAATCAGGACAAAAAGACTTTTTGAAATCAAATTAATGAATGTTGTAGATATTTGATTTTTAGAATATAATTTGGTATTTTTCTGGTTCTGAGATGGCAAAACCCCTTGCTGAAAGGAGTACTCCCGGGGGCGAGGGGAGGGACTTCTGGTGGCAAAGGTCGGAGGTTAGGGGGTGGGACTTTCAGTCCCAAATTGGCTACCAGGGGGTGGGGAACCTGTCAAAGGGCAGTGTTACCCATGTGGCCCTCGACAGCTTGCCAAAAACTCTGTAAGCAGCCCTCTGCCTGAAATAATTGCCCACTCCTGCTTTACAAGACAATTACTAAGGACAAAGACGTTTCAGTATTTGGTTAAGACAAAGTTACCTTGTCTGAGAATTTCCAGCGTCAAACTCCCTAAATCCATCATGCTTTCTAAGATGGATGAGCATGCTTTCAGAAAGCATGCAATTCCCCCCCTTCCTTCCCCCACCTGAGATCAGTTGAGTAGAGAAGTTAAAACAGAAATCCATGCTTAGAATAATCCAGTAGGTATGCTTCTGGTATTTTCTATAGCTAGTGCTACGTTACTTCTTGGCTGTCTGTTCCCATAAAACTGAAATTTGGCAGTATGGGTCACAGAAATGTATGACTTCAATGTCAATTACTTGTCGTATCCAAAACAGAAGCACAAAGCGGCCCTGGTACTACAGCTACAAGGTAATTAAAATTTTCTGTACTCTCCCAGGAAACAGCAACCATTTAAAAACATTACATATTAAATATTCATCTAACTGTATTACTGTTGGTTTTAAAACACTGGAAAATGACGAAGTTTGATGCAAGGCTTTGTTATATGCAACAGAGTAATAAAAAAAATTAAAATTAAATGAATTAAATCTTTCAATTCAGAATGTCCTCTCACTGGTGACAACTTAATTTCATTCAATTAATCTAGCAAAGTTTAGCTATTTTGACCATGATAGCAGATTACCATACATGTTCAAATACTGAAAGAAACAGATGTATCGTACACAGATAACTTGGTAATTTGAGATACTTTCCCATACAGGATAAATATATAAACCACACTAACTCCCGCCCCCCAAATAGTACAGTATCATACCATTTCTGCCACTGAATTAAAATTCCACTGTCTTCATGCATTATTATTAGGTAAGTAGGTTACATTACAGATTCTCCCATAAGTATTCTTTGTATGGGAGTTAGCTGGTTTTCGTTCTTCCACAGTTCAGGTCTGTGCCTTATCCCCCATATATTTTGTAAGCTCTTAGTATATTTACTGTATTATAATCACTTTTTAATTAAAAGTCAGCCTAATTCAAAATAAGATGCATAAAAAAATGATTAAAGAAAGTTATGGCATATCCTCTTCCCTTCTAGATAAATGCAGTTTTTAAAAAATACAATAAGCCTTAAACACTCAGAAGCAAAAATCTAGTGTCTTACTGTGAATTATCTTCATTGTTTATTCTTTTTAGTTCTCGTATGTGAAGATTTCTAACTCTCTCCAGACGTTCAAGTTCTGCTTGTATTTCAGCTTCTTCCTGCAAATGAAAAGAATGAACCATAAAAGCTCAATTTGCTCCCTGTTTGAAAATGATATTTTTACCCATATATCAATACAAGTGGTGATGGAGGAATGTTACATCATGAAATGCTGCAGGA